ATAAACTATGAAGGGAGCGGTCATCACACAACCATAGACAGTAATAATAACCCTTCCCCATTTTACTGACGTTTCCCCATCAGAGTCCCTGTGTGATTCAAACCATTGCTGAGCACCCCTGATAAATAACATATCGGTGATGTTGGGGGTTTCATATTGAATTCTCATAAATAGTTCTCTAACTCTCTCTCCTCCAGGTGTCGTTGGCTTCACATCCTGCAAGGGACGATCTCCCGCTGGCTGTGAAATTAGCCAGTGTGGAGAACACAACGTTCTACAGGGCCTGCACTGAGCGTAAAGCTTTGCTGACACTGGATACCAGCCCGTTCTTCATCCACCTCTATGCTACATTGCAGACAAGCGTAAGTGACCTTATAACTTCATTGATGGTGTGGGACAGTTACATGTGATAAAATAAACTGTCACTCAGCATCTTAATACATCAATATGGAGGATATTTATAGAAAGCCTATCACTTTGGTAACCTGCCCGCCGTTTACGATGGAAATGGTAAGTACATTTATATGATTCTGAGCAGAGTTAATCAGAGTTTTTCAAAACAGGCATCCTTTCACTTTGCATGTTAGCTTTGTGAACTGAATCTAATATGTTGTAATTTGCTCAGACTTAACTTGCTACATGCTTGGTCCAGGCCAGAGACTAACTCTGATAGATTTATATCTGTCCTTTCTATTGGCCGTACTTATATTGCCTGATGACGGCACAAGTGATGGGAACTGCACTGAGCCATATTAGCATTTTATGAATTCATTTACTTAACATATTAATTTACTTTATTTATTTAACCTGGTTATTATATCTTTTCTTTATACAGGGACCACCAGCAGATCTATCGGTAACGTGCTGGTCACCGGTATATAGATATAAATCTCAGGGAGTAAGCTGGGTTGATATTATATATTCTTCATTCTGCCCCCTTCTGGCCGTTATGAGGGACTGCAAGATAATGATGGCATTTTACATGTATAGAGACTTACAATAGCACACAATCATTTTTAGATTTATATCTCCCCTTTATATCACTTCACTTACTTTATATAATTAAGTCTCACCATAGTGGGAATTGTAGTTATATTATCATTTTCTGAATTCATGAACTAATGTTAATGCATTTTGTTCTCCACAGATAAATACTATATGCTTTCAGAGAAGATGGAGTCACTTCTTCAACAGATCGAGCTTTGTCACCAACATACCAAACAGAAGAGCTAAACCGATACCAAGACACCGGGACTCCATCTTTACACTGAAAATTTGTTACAAAAATTAAAAAAATATTTAAACTTAATATAAAAATAGTTTTCTTTACATTTTTGGAGGAAAACAGGAATACAGTCATTTTTGAAAATATGGGTTATGTAGTTACCTAGAGGAGGGCACCGGGAAATAAAAAACATTAAAAGCCAGCCCCCCATGCAACCCCCAGGCCCTAACCGCCATGCTTCTTGGATATATTGGAAGTCAAAAAGCAGTCCAGACGAGGGGTGGGTAACAGCCACTAAGAAATACAGTGGACATTGAAACCTTAATAGGAGAATATCCAAAGGAATCAATGTCTGAAAAGGGTTAGCTGAAAAAAAGGGAAAGCAATACATAGAAAAGCACAAGGAAAGTTCCCGGGAGTAAGCTGGTGATCCAGAACAGGGCAGGTAGCACTACAAATGGGAGACTGCTATATAAGGTTAAAATCAGACACCACCTTAGGGAGCAAGGAGGCTTCATGGCTAGAAACCACTTGATCCATATTTATTGTGGACAACAAGGAAAGGCTTCTTGCAGGTCAACGCTGCAAATTCAGAAAACCATCTTGCAGAAGTTATGGCAACAAGGAAGGCCACCTTGGCACCGGGGTTCCTAGAAATGGATTTTGACCATACAGATAAGGTCTGAAAAACTGACATAGGGGTCTATTCACGAAGCAGCCGAAGGATCTAGCCATAGGTTCGGCCGATCCTTCGGCTAGCTTCGGCCCCAGGACTGCCTCTGACAGCTGGGCGGACCTCCGGCCACTTGCAGAGAGATCAGCATCCCTGGTTACCAGCTAACCAGGGACACTGATCTACAGACAGCAAACTGTCAGCAAACACCTTGCCTGTGCATTGTGTAAAGGCGGCTGTGCTCTTTGTGTGAGATGAATTGCAGCGCAGGGAGCTCCACTCTACAGCTCAGCCAGCAGCCAACATTAGGAAGTATGCCACTCACCCTCCCTGCCCCCTCCACAGGCATCTTCTATCGGCTCTGCCCCCCCGTTACTGTCATTTACATCGCAAGGTGTCTGCAGAGCTAGCTCAGGGACCTTTGTCTCCAGCCAATCACAGGCCACCCTGCCGTGCCTGAACCCCTCCCACTGACCAGCCACCGTTACAGGATGTGCAGGCACGAACGTTTTTTTTCTCTTACAACTTAAACTTTATTCATACTCAGCAGAAGCCGAACTAGTGAGCGCAGCAGACCCGGAAAGATTTCAATGCTTTCCGGGATAAAATGTCTCTCTTGCGGTCGTCCGGGAGCCGCTATCTAATAGCGGGAGACTCCCGGAACGTCCGGGAGACTTGGGATGTCTGTGCTAGATCTAAAGCAGATTGTACAAATCAGATTGCAATGTGTGTGTTGAGCTTAAGATGGGAATTTTCCCTTACATTGGGAGAGTTCCTCTAACTTCCTTTTGTGTCCTTGGGACAGGAAGTGAAGAAAAATGTTCCCATTAGGACACAGACACAAATAATTGGCAGGGATTGTAACCCTTTCCTACCCTATCTAAAGAAACAAATGGCTATATACACTGAGTGGCCAGATTATTATGACCACCCCATCAGTACTTCGTTGGGCCACGAGATGACTCTGTTGGGCCGCCTCGCAGTGGCGTAACCAGAGTTCTGGGCGCCCGGGATTAATACTAGTTCCCCCATTGCACTACCGTACTACTAAAATGTTGTTAATGTAAGCTGTGCACTATGTCTGATAAACAAGTAAAAGGTTTTGCCTAGAGATACGCTTTAACATTATACGGTGGAATATGGCATGTTCATTTCCCGTTTCTTACACTAGGTGGCGCCGATATCCCCGGCGGAGCCCTGGACTAAGTGCTAGAGACGCTCTGGACGGCACTCTATGGTCGTACTGAAGGGAAGAGCGAGCGCTGAGGGCTAAGGCCGCTCGTCGCTGGAGGACCCGAGCTTCCCCCGAGGGTGAGAGGGGATAAAATGGCCGCTGTGAGGCCGCCCTGGCCTGTCTCCCAACGCCGTGTCCCTATTCTTCTTCGAACGGGAAGGTGAAAGCGGCCCGGAGGGGTGACACGGTGGGGCCATGGGCTCTCAGACGCTGCAAATCCTCCGGCAGGGAGTGTGGGCTTCCATCACCGGGGGCTGGTACTACGACCCCCACCAGAGCACCTTTGTCAACACCCTGCACCTCTACATATGGCTCTTCCTGCTCTGCTTCCCCTTCACCCTATACATGGTGAGTGTATAGAGCCTCAGCTGCCTCCATCTTGTCTGCTGTACAGGCCTTACCTACTGCTCTGCTGCCATCACCACAAATGTGCTTGTTAAGGGGCACTGACAGGGTTTAGGAGGAGGAGGGGTACTCACAGGATATTAGGGTACTCACAGGATATGGGGGTACAGAAAGGATAAGGGGGTACTTATAACCTCAAGCAGTATTTTGACAGGGAAATATCAACAATTGCCATTTACCATATCATTAGATCTGTCATATCATAATCCTGAAACACACGTATATACACATACGCACGCATGCGCTTACACACATACTCTGATCTATACATCCACCGTTGACATCGGATAGAGATATAGATATATATATATATCTATATAGATATAGATCTATATCTATATAGATATAGATATATATCATTTGAAAAGTAATCTTTAATATTTTAAAATCATCAGCAGTAAAGTACATCTCCAGACAAAAATGAAAATAAGTGTGCGTAGTTTATAACATTTAAAAACTTTTTGTATTCTGCTGTCATTTTTATATTCTTTGCTCTTCCATAGCAGTTACATGGTGATGCTGTCAGTTCCTTGTTTATTCAGCCATTTCTGTTGTGTGGCTGACAAAACACTACAATACAATACGAATGTATAGGGCCGTCTTGCTGTTGGTACCAGGAAGTTTGCCTGCACATGGGAAGTGTCCTCCTACGTGCATGTGTAGTAATTCTGGAGGAAGCACTGACACTGCATCCCTTTGCCTGGCTCTTTGGCACTTCCTGGCCACTACTGGTGCGCTATGTGGAGAATGTGTCACATGACTAAGAGAGAAAAATAAAGGTAGTTATGAAACTATTTTAGCATTAACTCCTAGTCTTTTAAGTGATGCCTAACATTGGGAGCTGGAGGTGGGATTTCTGATTGTGATCACTGTGATTGACTGTCACAATGATCACATGATTGGGAGCCCGTCCTTTCCTCCTGATCGCAATATATGACCGGGAGCTGTCAGTGACAGTTTGGTAACTGTGCCGGGAATGCCGAGTGAGTGTGCTTTCAGCACAGAACAGTGGCTGCGTATGTGACAGTCCAGCGTTAAATCCCACCTCCAGGTCGCTGCATGAATGTGGATGGTGTAGGCATAGTTCAAATGTAATCAATGCACCCACATAAGTAAAATAAAAAACATGTACATCTAAATATAAGTATAACATAAAACATAGTCAGACAGGTGACTGAAGCCTTTATATCCTGGTGAATCTGCCATGTATGTTCCTGATGAGGCACTTCCTTTTATAGGTTGACAACACTCGCTGTCTTCCACATGCTCTCCTGTGTTGTCACCCAGTGTCCCATGCACTTCATGTGGAGTCTATACTCATTGCACAGGCATAGTCTGTCATTGTCAGCTTCAGGAAACCTACCTTGAGATATATGTAGCCATTGCTGGATTCTTGCTTGTAGACAGGAAGTACCTGCAAATTAGATTGCACTTAGATGCAACAAAGGATGAATAAAGCTGAAAACTATATAAAAAAAAAAAAGGCAATAGTTTATTATGAGCAGGGCTTTAGCAAACTAAATGTAATTTAGGGTTCACATTGTATTTAAAAAAAAACCCTTTGCAGTGGGACCCCCACACTGCAAGGGTTAATATTCACTATCTCTAGGGAAGGTAGAGGGTGATATTACTTACCTTATTCCTCGCTTTGGCACTCTCCTCTCCTTGCGCTCCGGCTTTTGGGCAGTCCCTTGGCATCATTACGTACATGGCTGTTGGTCCTGTACTGTATGTGAAGAGGTAAGTGTGCGATCGTGACCTGGGGAACCTTAGACAGGAGGATTCGGCTACCGGTCGCACAGATAAAGGGAGCTTGGCAGAGCGAGGAATAAGGTATAAAGTAAGTATTTACACCTTAATACTTTTATACCCCTAGACTTAACAAGCATTTAACCCTTGTAGAGTGAGAGAGGCTCGCTGCAAGGGTACTTTTTTTGCCTCCTGAGTTGGGCTTTTATACTCTGGCTTTTCTCCACTTTTTTTTTTCCCTATGAATTTCTGCAGAGTCTATGAAAGTGTAGAATTACAAGCAAAGAAAAAGATAAATATAAAATATGTGCAGGGAAAAAAGGTGACAAATCTTTTTTGTCACCTGTCAGTGTTTTTCGGAGAATTGATTCCTCCTCTTCCCTGTTGAAAATAATGGGTTCTGTTTGGTCAATGTTGTAAATATAAACATGAAATAGTAGATTTACCCCTTTTTAAGTAGTCTTCATCACTCTACTCAAGAAAGAGATGTATGATCTTAGAAATCTTGGTCCTTTTCTCTTACAATTGATAGTGTAAAGAGAGATTATGGCACTTGCCCTCAGCGCCCAATTCCAGGGGGTTTTGTTCCTAGGCTAAGTAACTTTCACTGCCATCAGCCGCACCTTTTCATACTGTCATTTGTACTTATGAAGTTTAAGGGAAATTCCAGCTATTGCATAAAAATAATAAATGCACATAAAAGAAAAACAAAGTGCATTTATTTATTTGCATAGGAGCCGATAAAGCATTGCAGCTACAATCAGTAGATCGTGAGTACGATGATCTGGCTCCTGCAGACTCTTCCTCCCATCCTTGTCCATACCCAGGTACCGACATACAGGGACAGTAGGGTGAGATCGCTGTACTTGGGGCTGATTCACACCATGTGCCTTGGAGCTGTGCTGGCTGTTGTTTCTAGCACAGCCCCAACGCAAGACAAGGCAATTTGCCGGGTGGTGTGCGCTGAAAAAGAGTAAGGTGTGTCTTGCATTTTTAGTGCAGCGGCATGCAACGCGGTACAACAGCCTCACACCCCTCTCTGCCCGTAGAACTAGATGAAATGTCACAACAACAAAAAGTCCACAGTGCAATGTGCTGGGATCTGCGTTTTGGGACTGTGCTGGGTCACCGCACAACAGAAGCTGTGCGATTAGCGCAGCATCTGGTGTGAATGGGCCCTTATACATCATAGAGAGTTAAAAGTCCCTCTGCCGTGGTGGCCCATGGGACTTGTAGTTTCTTCCATTTGCGGTCAGATCCTGTGAAAGGAACTGACTATGCTTCATGGGTGTAACATGAAACATGGTTAGAAAGGTAAACTAAGCCTTTTAAATCTGTGAAGAATGATCACAAAATGATGGAAACTGACTTATTTTAACATCCAAGGACTTTTTACTAATCTTAAGCTTCAGACCTTGGTGTGCTATTATTGTGCAAGTCCAAAACCCTGTGTAGTGTGATTTTACACCATTAGTAATCAACAAAAACCTCCAGTTCTATGAGGGAACAAGGGGGAGGAAATGAAAATGTTGCCCTCTGCAATTCAGAATCTCTCATAAAATGTCAGTAATGTTTAAATGTTATTTTAGATGATGCCATAGGAGGCATTTGACGATCGGTTTGTAAAGCCACATATTAGAATTTGCTTTGCAGTCTACGAGGTCATCGTCCCTATTGACCGAGACAGTTTTTGGTATACTGTACTTGATTGGATTGTGTGTGTTGTCATGATGACATTTTTGTGAGTCCGTAGGTTTGAATTTGTTACATGAACAAACTGAAATGCAAGTGAACAGATGTAATGTGTGGTAAATACATTCTGCTAAACGTTTGGTTGGGTTTAGGCCTTTGTCAAAAGCACAAATTAGTTAAAAACTCTTGTCAGTTGCTTTTGAAATTAGTTCAAAACTCTGCACTAACTCCGTACAACTTCCATCTTTCTCCTCCTGCACTTCACTTCAACTCAACCCGCTGCCATGACCAGTACCGCCCTCTGGCTAAGCTTACAGCACGGATTGGTAGGCACTGCCACTAGCTCTTTCCTGCTTGGTCCAGTCTCATGTCACGTCCAATGCACATCAGTTAATTGATAATGAGAATCGTTGACAACTATTCTCATCGATTAGTTGATTCAATCCTAAATTGCTGTATTCTTTCTCTTCATGGGTATTACTGCATGAATATCCGCTAGGGTGTTTCATTTCCTGTGTCTACTTTGCTGATTGTGTAGTTCAAAGGGTAATGCCACTTTCCCAGGCAAGTTTGGGGAAATGGCATGCCCTCTCTATCTCCTTGAGCACCTGACCATGCTGGCCAATGTTCTTACTGCTTCTTAGCACTCCAATACTGTTTACAAATGTAGTGCAATAAGGCACCTAATGGTGTCTATTACTCCACACTTTATTAAATCTTCAGTTCTTTTCTTTTGGCGCCTTAACAGTTTTGTCACCAGGTTCAAGAGAGTTTAGATTTTGCATAGCATGCCTAAGGAAATGCCAACCTTCAGAATGTTGGTATTTGCATAATGTTTTGCAGACTGGCAGTGCAAGCATGAGATTTTTTTTTAAGAGAGATACAGTATATATTATGCCAGCCTTACAACAACAAGGGCTTTTCCTGGTAAAGGTTTACTTCAAAGGAATCATTTACTGAAAAATATGGCACCCGCCATTGCTGACCTCTCAATAATGCTGGTTGTTGAAATTATTATATCTCTAAAACAGACGGGCAACTAGACTTTTCAGAAGGGGATGTTAACAATGGCAGTCCCCATAATATGTCAGTACAGGTTTCCTTTAAACAATGGAGAAATCGGATACTAACACACTCAGAGGAACGTGTTTCTTTTTTTTTTTTATCTGATCGTCAATGGCTACAGGTCCAAGTTGTGACATATTGCCTTTAAGCAGTGTTATTTATAGTTGTGTTAGAAGATGAAAACACATAAGCAAAAATGTTTTTGTTTTTATGAAGCGAACGCACCTTTTTAGTACGCAAGCATTTGGTTGGAAAACGTATGTAATATAAATATTTTGAGTACCTCAGCCCTTTCCTCTGACAGTGACTCACAAATATAATAATCATTCTGGGTTTTTCATCCTGGGCTGCGTAGTCTACCCTGACTAATGCGGTTTGTTTAAACGGTGCTCTATGTGGAAGTGTTAGACTATATTAGTTTAACAATTCTGTTTTTT